TCCCTGGTTAACTACCCTCATCTCGGCCCTTGCTGGACCCCTTGCCATCCTGCTCCTACTAGTAACCCTTGGACCCTGTATCATCAACAGGCTGGTCCTGTTTGTTAGGGACCCTGTGGGGGCCGTCCAACTAATGGTCCTCTGTGCTCAGTGCAAGCCCCTAATAACAGAAGAGGACAAAATAGAAATGCAGCCAGTCCCATGATTGGGTCTGTAAGCTACATGACAAGGGGGGAATGAAGGAGCGGACCTAGGCCGGCTGACTCCATTTTGTTCTGTGTCCTCCATCTTGAGTGACTATGTCCCTGACATGGCCCCCTTTCCGGGAAAACCGCAGAAAGAAATTCCCGCTCAAACCTCAGACCATGCCTACTCCCCTGGAGTAACTTCCTGCTCACCCGTTCAAACTTCCCATTCAAATCACGCACGGCAACCTGCGCAATGGGACTCTGACCCTTCCCCAGCCAATCGGCTAAGGCCATGACCATCACCCCATTAACTGCCCCTAGATCCCTATAAAACCTTTGTGCTTTTGAAACGCACTCTCTCCAGCATTTCACTGCTGCATCGGTGCAGGTAGGGGATTGAGCTCGAGCTAGCTCGAATAAAGGCTCTTTGCTTTTGCATTGGACTCGGCTCCCTGGTGGTCTTTGGGGATCACGAATTCTGGGCATAACACTAACAGTGTCCCAATCTCAATCACAAGTTAGCAAATATAAAAGTCTAATGAATCGACATCTCACTGTGATTGTGATTTGTATTTCCCTCATGATAAATGATGTTGAGTCATGTGCTTTTTTTTTTAGTGTGCTTTTTTTTTGTATATCCTTTCTGAAAAGTTTAGTGAAGTTAGCAGCCTATTTTATTTTATTTTTTAAATTTTTTATTATTTTTGAGATGGGGGGAGGGAGACACAGAATCTGAAGCAGGCTCCAGGCTCTGAGCTCTTTTCTTTTCTTTTCTTTCTTCTTTTTGATAAATAACTAGGAGGAGAATCTAATCTCTGGGTTATATGCTTAGCTTTTTAAGAGATGTCAAATAATTTTTCATTTGTAGTTGCATATTTATATTCCTTTTGGCAATATGTTAGAGTTTCAGTTGGCTCCACATTTTTTCTAACATTTGATATTTTCAATCTTTTAAGTTTTAGTCATCCTAATGACAGTTGTGTTGTGATATATTGTTGTGGTTTTCATTTGTATTTTCTGATGCTTTAGATGTTGACTACCTTTTTTTTTTTTTTTTTTTTTTTTTTTTTTTTTTTTTTTTTTTTTTTTTTTTTTTTTTTTTTTTTTTTGCCTTTTGGACATTTGCATATTTTCTTTTTGAAAGGTTCAATTCTTTTGCTCAATTTTTAAGCTAAGTTGTTTACTTTGTATTGAATTTTAATAGTTCTTCTAATATTCTGGATACAAGTCATTTTGACCCATGAGCATTTAGATCTTCTTTCACTTATTTGGGTCATTTCATTTCCCTCAGCTTTGTTTCACAGCTTTCAGTATGTGGGTTTCTTACATGTATTTGATAAATTTATCTCTAAGGGATTGATATTTAGGGGGTACTATTCTAAGTGCTGTTATTGTTGAAATTCAGTGTCTGTTTGTTGCTAGAATATAGATATATACTTGGCTTTTGTATCTTGACCTTGCTAACTTTGCATAGTAAATCTAAAAACATTTTTCTGACCTGTTAGAATTTTCTACACAGATGGTCATCACTAAATAAAAAGTTGTACTTCTTCCATTCCTGTCCCCATTGTGTTGATTTCTTTTTCTTCTCTTATTGCACTGGCTAAGACTGTTAGAAGACTTTTGGATAGAAGTACTCACCATATACATCCTTTACTTGTTCCTAATCTTAGGGAGAAAGTGTTTAGTCCTCCATCACCTGCTGGCCTTTTTGTAGATGCCAGTCACTGGGGTTGAGGAAGTCCCCTTCTAGTCCTACTTTACTCAAGAGCATTTATTATGAATGACCATCAACTTTTTGTAAATGCTTTTTCTTTTAATAATCGGATCATCATATGTTCCTTTGGTTCAATTTGATTCTTTTCGACCTTGTTTTTTAAGCTTAGTTAGGTTGGGTCTAGAGTAATCTTTATTCCAGAGCAGTGGCTTTCCAGCAGCTTTGCCCCACCATGGGACATTTGGTAGTGTCTGGACATTTTTGGTTGTCATGATTAGGGTGGGTACTACTGACAACTACTGGGCAGTGGACGGGGATGCTGTTAAATATCCTACAATTCACATGATAGCACCTGGCAACAAAGAATTGCCTGCTGCAAAATGTCAACTGTTGAGAAACTCTGTTCTAGAGATAGTTTAGCCCTTTTACCTAAGCATGGCCCCTCAGTTGCTGCCAAATGTCCCTAGTGGTCAGTGAGGGCTTTCCATTTTGACTGTTTGGAATTCAAACACCTCTAAGTCCTACTAAGCTACTAAGCTCTGGAAACCATTCAGCCCATAACTCTCCGGTTACTTTTTGCCTGGCCTGTGGAGTTTCCTCATATATGTGCACAGTTTGGTCTTTAGTGGTGGACTCAAAGGGATTCCTGTGCAGATTTACAGTGCTTTTCTTCTGCATTCTTCTTTCTGGAACTCTGCTCTGCAATTTCCAGCTACCCAGTCTCCTTGTTCTGATTTCTGTCTCTTCCACTCAGCAGGTCTCTGTTTGGGCTCCTCCTTCTTGCACCTGCAGTTCAAAAGTTATCGATTGGCAAATATCTGGGGTGATCATAGGACTCCTCATTTGTTTCCTGCATTTAAGAGATCAAAGTACTGTGCTTTCGATGTCTGAAGATGGTTGTTTCATACTTTTCCCCCCTATTTTCCTACTCATGATAGGAGGGCATGTTTAGTCCTAGTTATTCTGTTATAGCCAGAAATAGAAGTTTCTGTCACCTACATTTTAAAAACATTTTTATTTATTTTAGAGAAAGCATGAGTGGGGGTGGTGGTCAGAAGGAGACAGAGAGAGAATCTTAAGCAGGCTCCATGCTCAGCACAGAGCCCTACTTGGGGCTTGATCCCACGACCCTGGGATCATGACCTGAGCTGAAATCACAGTCGGACCCTCAACTGACTGAACCATCCAGGCGCCCACATCTGCATTTTTAATGACTACATTATAGTTCAATGAATTGTTCTTAAAGAATTCCCTAATCTTAGACATTTAGGTAGTTTAAGATTTTTAAAAAATGTTTTAATGTTTATTTTTGAGACAGAGAGAGACAGCATGAACTGGGGAGGGTCAGAGAGAGGGAGACACAGAATGTGAAGCAGGCTCCAGGCTCTGAGCTGTCAGCACAGAGCCCGATGCGGGGCTAGAACTGTGAGATCATGACCTGAGCCGAAGTTGGATGCTTAACAGACTGAGTCACCCAGGTGCCCCTAAAAAATGTTTTTAAAGAACACTGCAGTGTTCTTACATACAAGGTCTGTTCCCAAAAAGTAATTCTGGAGACTGCCACTTCTGGAAAGATGGAGGAAACATACTTTTCCCTATTCTTTCCACTAAGTACAGCTAAAAATCCTGGATGTTGTATGTAAAGCAAACATGAAAGCAGGCAGACTGGCTTGGGACCTAAGACTCGAGGAGTGATATGGCAGTGAGTTACTTGGGTTTTCTTTTTGCCTCATATATCCCAGACTTGGTGCTGGAGATGATGGCAATGTGGAAATACCAATGAGTACAGACCAAAACAAAAAACAAACAAAAAAAACCCAACCAACCAAACAAACAAAACCCGCCCCACACCTGCCCCTGCCAGGCTGTAATGACAAGCCTAGGCTTCCTGCCTTGCCAGCTATAATGAGTCCCCCAAACTCCCTGTCAGGGAGTAATAAGGACTCACCCACCACTATGTTGTCAAAGGAGACAATGTGGAAGCCTGGACTTCACACTCACCTAGTGATAATGAGTTGCCTCTCCTTTTCCCAGCTTAGGTGGTGTTAGAGGAGACCTAGTGGAAATTCAGGACTTTGACCACTACCCAGCAGAGCTGAGGCCAACTCCTCGTACCCCATGTCAGTAGAAGCCAATGGGGAACAGTAACAAACCACCTCTGCCCCTTTCAGCCACAGTCTTATCTGCAGAGACCAGAAGTAAAGGGCCCGAAGTCTCACCCCAGCCCAGAAGTAGTTAACTCCTTACCCCACCAGATATCAACAGAGGCCAAGTAGGGAATCTGGGCCTAGCTCTGCCCCCCTCCGCCTTTGAGAGAGGTGTCAGAGGGGGCCTAGTAAAACAGAAGATTTACATGAAATCCCAAGTCTTATAATACTCAAGATGTCTGAGTTTTGGAAAAATGACTTGTCATACAAGAACGAGGGGAATCTCAACTTGTATGAAAGACAATCAGATACAGTAAAATGATGTTCACTGACGTTAGCTCTCAGTTAGAAGGGATGAGATACTAGTTACCTGACAAGGGCTTTTTTTTTTTTTTTATTGTGGTAAAATATACATAACAAAATATATCATTTTAAGTGTACTTCTCAATGACCTTAAGTACATTCCCAGTGTTGTGCAGCCATGACCACCACATATCTCCAGAACTTTTTTCATCTTCAAACTGAAACTCCATACCCATTAAACAGTAGCTCCGATACCTCCTCCCCCTAGTCTGGAAACCACCATTTTTTCCTTCTGTCTCTATGTATTTGCTCCTCCTGGAGAAAGCTTACATGAGCAAAGTGAACCACGGTGATAAAAGGATTATTTCAGAACATTGTTAATGTCTAACCTAATTAGAAGTTCTGTGGTACTTGTATTAAGTTATCTATAGTTATAAAGCAAATTACTCTTAAACTTATTGGTTTAAAGCCACAAGCATTTATTTACAGTTTTTGTGAGCCAGGAATCTCGGGCAGGTATCTGGGTGGTTCAGGCTCAGGATCTCATGAAGTCACTGCCAAGGAGATGCCAGAACTTCAGTCTTCTGAGGGCTTGATGAGGGTGAAAGGTCTGCTTCCAAGATGGACTCATTCACATCATTGTTGGCAAAATATCTCAGTTCCTCGTTGATTATTTGGGGGTCTCACTTACTTGCCAAGTGGGCCTCTCCCTGGGGCTGCCTGAGTGTCCCCAAAACATGGAAGCTGTTTTCCCCAAGAGCTAGTGATCTAAGAGAGTGGAAGGCAGAAGCCACAGTATCTTTTATAATCTAACTTTCGAAGTGTCATAGCATCACTTCCGCCATATTCTGTTTACACAGAGTGATCCTGATACATTGTGAGAGGGGACCTTTATAGGAGTATGGATATCAGGAGGCAGGGATCATTGGGGGCCATCTTGTGTGCTGTGTACCATAACACCTTTTGTACAAACACAAATCCACAAAAGCTAAGAGATGACTCTAACTGTTCAGCAGAAAATCCAGCCAAATTAAGTGGCCACAATGGTCATAGGATTTTTACTCCCATACGATATGTCCGCTATGAGAATACATTTTCTAGTGTTTTTTTTTTCTAGTTATAATGTTTATCAGTTGGGTATTCTATATTAGGACTTCATTGGAATAAAGGGGAATCCTCTCAAATCTAGCTTGTTTAATGTGTGTTTACTGGCTAAATTAAGGATATAAGGAAACTATCTCATGGATTTATTATTAGGACAGAGAAAATGTTTCCTTTTACAAATAAATTCTTTGCACTTTTCTGAGGATGTCTTCTCTTTTTCTCTGTGGGAACTCTTGGCATCACATGATAATCTTTCTGTAAACACTAAAGGACAGATTCGGCATTTCCCAGCCATTTTTGCCTTGTCTTATACATACATGCAGGTGGTAATAGTGTAACCATGATTTTAAGGCTTATAAATATCCAGGATTTTGTAGATCTTATATACCTGCTGCAGAAAAGAGGCAGGAATTACTTAAGTGATTATTTTTATGGACAAAGAAGTAGAGTTTCTCCCCTGTAAAATCTTTCTGATACGTCTTTTTGTTCCTCTGTAGCCTTGTATTTCTAATTTGACCTCATACATTAGTCTTGGTATGTTATAAATGAGTCTCCTTGGTACCTAGTGGGCAGGAAGGAGCCTGCTCATTACTGTGTTTCCATAGGCACGAAAAAGCCAGTGATAAAGTCAAGCTGAAGTCTTCACTGGTTGAATAAGATCTCCCGGTGTGATTGATCTGTGAAATATTTCTGTCTCTGAACAATATTCACTTGTCTTCATGCTCGCATCTGAATCCTTTTTATCCTTCCAGGACACAGGAATCAAAGCAAGATGGAGACTTTTCAAAAAGTAGGATTAAGATACCTTTCACATGAAGATGTTATATACTGGCAGATCTGGGAGCCATTTACAAGTAAATTAACCAGAAATCAAGACTTTGTAATAAATCTGCAAAGCAAGAAGTCTGAGTTGCCAACACAGGGTGATTCCTCCTGTCAGGTGTGGGCAGGAGAATCTCAGGTTATTGAAGATGAGAACTGTGTGATAAAGCTTCAAGGGGAGAGTTCCAATACTATCAAAAGTCAAGAGTTTCCAATTAAGACTACTTGGGATTTCTGGAAGAAAATCTACCTGAGAGAGTCACACAATGATCAGAATAGGTGTCAGCAAATTGATGTAAAAAATAAACCATCTAAGTGTGACCATTGTGTTATGAGAAGGATCTCTCAACATTACGATGATCAGGAAGCACACAACAGCGAGAAGGCTTATAACCACAATAGTTGTGGAAAAGAGTTCCTGAGGAAATCGTTCCAACATAGTATAACCCACTCAGGAGAGAAACACCATGTATGTAGTGAGTGTGGGGAGGACATCAACAACAGTTCAGTGCTTTGCATTTGTCAGAGCGTTCATGCAGGGGAGAAATGAGGTAGGAATGGTGAGTGTGGTGAGGGCTTCAGTCAGCTCATACCTGCAAAATCATCAGGGAATCAACACAGGAGAGAAGCCCTACAAATGTCAGGTGTAGGCTAGGGGCTTCAGTCAGAACTCCTGTCTTCCCACCCATGAGTTCCTTCAACCAGGAGACAATCTGTATAGGTGTGACATGTGTGGGAAGGGCTCGAGTCGTAGCCCAGATCTTAACATTTGCTGTATCAATGACACTGGAGAGAAATCCTCTAAATGTGAGATGTGTGATAAAGGCTTCAATCAGGCATCACAACTTCAAGCCTATCAGAGCCACCCCCCCGCTCCTAGAGAAAAAAACATACAAATGGGAGGCATGCGACAGGCTAGTTAATCAGAATCCTGGTCCTCATCAGAGAGTTAGCACTGGAGAGAAACCATATAAGTGTGAGGTATGTGGGAAGGACTTCAGTAAGGCCTCAAATCTTCAAGTCCATCAGAGAATCCACACTGGAGAGAAGACATATAAATATGGTATGTGTGATAAGAACTTCAGCCTGAATTCCCACCTTCAGGCCCATCAGAGAGTTCACACTGGAGAAAGACCATATAAGTGTGACACATGTGGTAAGTACTTCACTCAGATTTCCCATCTTCAGGTCCATCAGAGAGTCCATACAGGAGAGAAGCCATACAAATGTGAGACGTGTGGTAAGGGCTTTTGTCAGAGTTCACATCTTCAAGCCCATCAGAGAGTCCATACAGGGGAGAAACCCTACAAATGTGAAGAATGTGGGAAAGGCTTCATCTGGAACTCCTATCTTCATGTTCGTCAGAGGATCACACAGTTGAGAAACCCTATAAATGTGGCATGTGTGGTAAGACCTCATATCTTCAAGCCCATTGGAGAGTCCATACGGGAGATAAACCCTACAAATGTTTTGACTGTGGTAATGGCTTTAGTAAAAGTTCACGTCTTCAAGTTCGTTAGAGTCCATAATGGTGATAAATCCAGTGCACGTGATGAGTGTGAGAAAAGTGTTCTTCAGACTGTAGACTTCTCATTTTCATCAGAAAATCCACACAGAAGAGAATATTTATAAAATATTGTATTTTAAGAATTCAGCAATGAGCTGAGTTTTTTTTGTTAATGTTTATTTACTTTTGAGAGAGAGACAGAGCACAAGCAGGGGATGGGCAGAGAGAGAGGGAGACACAGAATCTGAAGCAGGCTCCAGGCTCTGAGCTGTCAGCACAGAACCCGATGTGGGGCTTGAACTCACGAACTGGGAGATCATGACCTGAGCTGAAGTCGGAAGCTTAACCAACTGAGCCACCCAGGAGCCCGGAGATGAGTAAGTTTCAGTCAGAACTTCTACATTCAGTCAAATCTACACAGGAGAGAGCCCTTAAGAATGATAGGTAAGGTCAGGATGTTAGCAAAAGTATATAGATGGACATGACGAAATCCATACCCACTAGAATATAAGCTCCATGGGGGCAGGAAGTTTGTTTACTGCTGAATGACCATGACCTCCAGCCAGTACTTAACAAACAGTAGGTGCCCTGAAAATGTCTAACTTGGTGGAAAGGAAACCTATCATAAATATGACAAATACGTAAAAATTTTAAGGAGCTCAACCCAGTCAGTCATAATCAGTTGTCCAAGGAAAAGGATTCTTGTAAGGAGCTTTAAAACGTAATTCAAGGAAGTGACCACTTAATAAAAAATACATAAAATCATGCAATGTGTAATTTGAGTGTAAGATTTTTTTGCAGTTGGCTCCTGTCCTCTGCAAGTTTTTATCTTACCACTTAAGACTCTCTGTACATCATCCATTGTGTATAAATCTCATTATCTCTTTTGGGTCTTTTGTGACAAGAAGAGACTGAATGATAAAAGAGAAACTTGTCTTCAATTCCATAAAGTCTTCATGAGAAAGGTGTGTGAAAAAAGGGGGACATATTATAGTATGCCTTTTGGACGTTGAACTAAGCTATTAAGGCACAGAGTATTTTGAATTTTTTTTTAACGTTTATTTATTTTTTTGAGACAGAGAGACAGAGCATGAACAGGGGAGGGGCAGAGAGAGAGAGGGAGACACAGAATCGGAAGCAGGCTCCAGGCTCTGAGCTGTCAGCACAGAGCCCGAAGCGGGGTTCAAACTCACGGACCGGACCGTGAGATCATGACCTGAACCAAAGTCGGACGCTTAACCGACCAAGCCACCCAGGCGCCCCAGGCACAGAGTATTTTGGATACCACCCCACAATTCTTATCTGCTTTGCTTTTTTTTTTTTTTAAGTTTGCTTGGTTGAATAGTTTACTTCAGTATATATTTACTGGAGAGAGAGAGAGAGAGAGAGAGAAAGAACGGTTTTCACACAATTTTTTTTTCCTGGACCTTACCTTTCAGCTACTTGAGTTCCATATTACCATCAGAAATCCAGGGCCAGTAACGCTGTGCTTTGTCATTACCAGATCCTAGGGTGGACAAGTGGAGCTCATGGCTGTTCATATGAGGATGTTTTCAGTTGTAAGAAATAGAAAACCCAGTCTGAACTAGCTGAGACAGAAGGAGAATTTATTGGTGTATGTAATTAAAAAGAATATGAATAGGACAGGATATAGGCCCCATTGAAAATGGCTCTGGATTAATTCTTTTTGTGATTTCCTCATCTCTGTGCTTTTGGTTGAGTTGATTCTCATGTTTGTTCTTTCCAACTCGTAGCAAATTTATTTAAAGAGTTGATGCTCTGTTAACTCTTCTAGCACACCCCCTTTTCTATATACTTACAGAACAGTTTTCTGGACCTCTTGTTGTCCGTGTTTGTCACCTGAAGGGTTGGCATTTTCCTAAATATGCCCTATCTAAATGCCAATATTTATAGGTACGATTTGCCATTTTTATCATATATCAGTGTTCTGGAGAATCTTTTTCTTTTCCCCTGAGTAAAATTAGATTTTTCTCTAAAAAATAATGCCTGGGGGCGCCTGGGTGGCTTGGTCAGTTAAGCGTCCGACTTTGGCTCAGGTCATGATCTCACGGTCTGTGAGTTTGAGCCCTGTGTCGGGCTCTGTGCTGACAGCTCAGAGCCTGGAGCCTGCTTCGGATTCTGTGTCTCCCTCTCTCTCTGCCCCTCCTCTGCTCATGCATTGTGTCTCTCTGTCTCAAAAATAAATAAAAACATTAAAACAATAAAAAAAATAATGCCTGAAATTTTTAAATAAGCAAATAATTTAAAAAAGGCACTAATGTCTCCATAATAAACATAATAAACAAGATTTTATTGAACATTTTTAGGGTATCTGCATATGGATACATATCTTTTCAGTTTTGCAAAACTAGGACAATATGCATACTATGTTGTAACTTGATTTTATTCACTCATTAATATGTTGGAAACCTTTTCTATCAATATTGATCTATAATGTTTTAATTGCATAGTATTCCAGTAATACAGACATATCACATTTTAACCAATTACCTACTGATGAATGTTCAGTTTGTATCTCCTAAACAGTTCAATGCAAAATTTAGAACAGTGACATCCATCTTCCTGCTCTTGTACGGTTATTTCCTTGGGAGAAATTTTTAGAACCAGTGCTGTAAAATGACAAACTGTGTCTAAAATGTATATAGCTATTTAAAGGGCCAAGAACAGTGAAGACAGTCTAGAACAACATGAGGGGTTATACTTTCAAATACCAAACCTTTGATGAAAATGCAATTTTTACAACAGAATGGCACAGTGGTGGTGGGCACCGTGGTGGACAACAGACTAATGAAACACAATAGAGTTCATGTATGGTACCGTCTTGATATACAACGAAGGAATCATTGCAATACAGTGGAGAGATCTTCCAGTAAATCAGTGTATCAGTAGAGGATCGTTTCAGTATATGGTAGTGATCAGATACATAGAAAATGAATGAACCTTGACTTCTATCTCACACCATGCTGATTTGTAAATCAGTTCCATATGGTTACTAAGACCTAAAAGTGAACATTGAAACAGTAGAGCCTAGAGCTGCACCACCAATATGGTAGCCAACTAGCCACAGGTGACTGTTCAGATTACAATTAAAAGTTCAGTTCTTCAGGCACTCTAGCCCCACTCCTCAAGTGCTCAGTAGTCATATGCTACCATATTAGCACAGATACAAAACACTTCAGTCATCTCAGATCTATCGGATAGCAGTGTATGCTTATAAGATGCAAAGTAGTCTTTTCCTGTTGGGGCCTGTAATTGATGATTCTTTCCTGTTGAGGATTCTTCTGATGGACTCTATAATTGGTACTTGTTCAGGGTGAGTGGTACACGTGAGAGCTCCCCCTTCTGGCCTCCCGACTCTATTTTAATGAGGTTTCCTTTTAATGATTTTCAGAGTTCCTTTTATTGCTGATGAGTATTCCATGGGGTAGGTGTACTACAGTTTGTTTAACCATGTACCTGTTAGAGGGCATTTCGGTTGTTTCTGGTTTTTGATGTGATGAATAGAGCTTCTGTAAACACTCACAGGTTTTTGCATGAACATAAATTTTTGTTACTCTGGGATAAATGTTCAAGAGTGTAACTGATGGCCTATTTTTTTTTTTTTTTAAGATTTAGTTTTTGAGTAATTTCTATATCCAGTTTGGAGCTTGAACTCACAACCCTGAGATCAAGAGTTGCACGGCCTACTGACTGATCCAGCCAGGCTTCCCAATGCATGTTTTGTTTTATTTATTTATTTTTAATGTTTATTTATTTATTTTGAGAAAGAGAGACAGTGTGAGCAGGGGAGGGGCAGAGAGAGAGGGAGACAGAGGATCCAAAGCAGGCTCTGAGCTGTCACCACGGAGCCCCATGCAGGGCTCAATCTCACGAACTCCGAGATCATGACCTGAGCCAAAATCAAAAGCCAGACACTTAACTGCCTGAGCCACGCAGGCACCCTGCATGTTTTGTTTTAAAAGAAATTCCCAAACTATTTTCCAGAGTATCTGATATTTTATATTCCCAGCAGCAATGTATGAGTGATTCAGTTTCTTCATACCCTTCCTAGCATAGCATTGTCACATTTTACATGTTTTTTTGAGAGAGAGAAAACATGAGTGTGCATGAGTGGGGGAGGAACCCAGAGAGAGAATCTTAAGTAGACTCCATGACCAGCACAGAGCCTGACATGGGGCTTGATATCATGACTATGAGATCATGACCGAAACCAAAATCAAGAGTCTGATTCTTAACCAATGGAACCACCCAAGCACCCCACATTTTATATTTTGATCCACATTGTCTGAGAGTCTTCTAGAAAGGCTATGCCAATATACTCTGACAAAAGACTCATGAGAAACCTATTTCCCTACCTCATTACCAAATAGTAGGCACTGTCCATTTCTCTGTGTCAAATATAAGGAAACAATGAGAGAGCAGATATTGTAAAAGATATTCATTACCTCTGACATCTGAGACCTGGGATTTCTGTAGGGTTTCCACCATTCCCTAAGTGATAAAAAGTGGTTCACTTGGGCCTAAACTGTACAAATGATGTGGTGTAGGCCAAACACTTGCTTTCCTTTTGGATGTCAGGAATGTGAATGCATTGTAGGCAGAGTGTGTGTATGTGACTAGCCTGTAATTAAATCTTAGGTACTGAATGTCTAATGGTGCTGAGTGTCCCCTGGTAGACATACTTCACATGTGTCATGACAGCCCATTGCTGGGGAATCAAGAGTGTCTTGTTTGACTCCACATGGAGAGGACTCTTGGAAGCTTGGACTGGTTTTTTTTTCTTTCTCTAGAAAATTGTGTCTTCACCCCACAAGACAAAATTTTAGATAAACCAGAGAAATAAAGAGGGTGGATGGAGGAGGGAAAGACTGAGGTTCCCTGATAGAAAACACTTTCATGGTGTTGTCACAACCCTCCTCCCCAGCCATTGCTAACCTTGTAAATGTTAGACCTACTGCCTGGGGTTTGAGTAAGCTTACAAAGAGGGGGTAA